ACCAAGTCCCTGTCACTGCCTTCCTTCTTATATCTAATTCTGACTGCAACTAAGTCTCTGAATGTAAATTCTTTAAGTTGCCATGAGTTGACGGAAGTCATTACGCAAGCTCTGGCTTAGTGTCCGGAGTATCGCTAAAAAGCGTATAGCCCGGTATACTAAGCCCGTTTACTGAACCGTTTCTCAGCCAGGGTTCCTGGATGAGAGCCACGTCATGTCGGCCTCGAGTGATCTCCAGAGTAAGGGCCTCGAAGCCGCTATGCAGTGTTGTAAGTTAATTTGGATGAAATTAAAACTTACCATGGATGTTGAGAGGTCCTTCCTACACCTTCCCGAATGACGGTATGTAACCCCTATTCGGGCGTACCGCCGTCGCCGCCGCAGTCATCGCTGCCACAGCCGCCTTCATCTCCGCTTCCACGGAGGAGTTCTCGGACTCGGTTCAGGATTCCATCCTCGTCCGAGTCGCTATCGTTTCCCTCTGGGACCAGATCCATCGCAGGGTCCGCCACGATGTTTTCTGCGGATATCCCGCTTGGACCCGCCGCCTCCACGTCCGTAGCCTCCGGTGGCTCCAGCGAGAGCTGACCCGGCCGACCCATCCCCTGTGAAGGAGCCTGGTCTACCGCCACAGCTCCCGTCGGTCTGGGCTGGTCCGACTCCTGGTTTGGAGCCAGGCCAGTTCCAGCAGGTGTCGCTCCACTGCTCTTCTTCTTGCTCAGGAGTGTAAACACCCCCGAACTTCCACCGCAACACAGCCTGTTGCCGTTACCTACAATGACTTTCCAGCTTATGGAATCAACTGAGAGGACAAGTCGGACACCTATCGGCTCTTCCTTCCTCTCAAGTAGCCTCCACGCGCTGGGAAAAGTCCCAGGATTGTGCCTCCTGAGTCTCCTCGTGATGACCTCGTTGTCCAGGTTGGGACCCGGAAACCAGGCCATCACGCGGTGGTATATGGGAAGGTCTCCAAAGCTCATCGTAATGAGCCTTGCGCCTTCCCACGGCCACAGATCCCCCACGTGGGCCTCCAACCATGCCCTAGAGGATTCGTCCTCGCAGACAAAGATGGCTGCCCCTCGAGAGAGGTAGCAGTCAATGTACCTGGGAAGGGTCACCTCATCTGGGATCCCATCTATCAGCACACTGACCGCCTCCTGGACCTGCTGCACCTGTACATTAGTAAGTTGAGTCCCAGGATAACCGTCGGACACGACGGCCACCCTGAGACCCGCTTGGGACGCTCGCGCATAACTAATTTGCGCATGCGTCGCAGTGCGAGGCTTCTTCCGCGAGGATGTGCCCTCCGGTGTCCCACCGGCAGACCTCTGCCGCTTCCCGTCACCGGGCCGCTTTAGGGCCTCCGCTGACACACCGGATTGCGCACCGTCTAGCCCAGATGGCGGTTGGGTCCGTCCAGCCGGGGTCCCAGAAGTGGTGCCCCGACCTTCCGAGCCCTCCGTCATCTGCGCCTCTCTCCGCTTCCGAGCCCTTTTCCTTTCGGAACCTGGCCGAGACTTCTTCTTAATCTTTAGAGAGCCCACCCTTTCCGCTAGCTCTCTCGCTAAGCTTCTGACAGATTCCTCTGTCAGAGTACGATCAGGGTCCCCTGGTGAGGGGTCGCCTGGATGTTCGGGGTCCCCTGTAGGGGGGGCCTCGGGTTTTTTATTATTTTTGTTATCGTTCGGTTCCATAATGTTCCCACGAGTATAGGGGAAGTGGTGATCGACGTCCGCGGTGCCCCTACACGGACGCAAGGCTGGATACTCTGGGAGGTCGCCCGGTGTCCCAGAGGCTCCGTTTAAGACGGTGCATCCCCACCGCCACGCACCCCTCGGCACGGAATCGCTTAACACCTTGGGTTGGGTAACGTACCATTGCCCATGATGACCGTTGAGCTGCAGGCGTCCAGATATACATCCGAGACACCTGTGGCTCAACGAATCATTCGATTGGCCGGGCTACCGGCTTTCCGGCGGGTCTCCTCAAAAACTAATCGAGGCGGTCCACCGCAAGACCGGCACCCCGTTGCCCCCCCTACACGGTCGCACACGGTTCAGCGCCCAAGGCCGCCCCGCAGAACGAACTCGAGGACGTACGGGTTGGATTTTTGTAGGGGTACAACCCTACGGCGAGTTCAGCCAGCGCGCATACGCCTGCCACGTGCATTCTTGAAACGTACCCCCATAAGGCACTCTTAAATGTAGACATTCAATTAGGGAACACCCTGTATTTTAGTTGCCATTTCTACGGATCTTGTTTTGCATGTATAGGATTCCGGGAGATTTTACTCTGTATCACCTAATGTCAGAGCAGTCGTTAATATGAAGCGTTATAGAACTGTATTAGTATGTGCTCTATAGTGTCGTGTTTAGAGAAGGGGTTGAAAATAACAATAATTGTGAGAACCGTCGAATCACCAGCGAAGAAAATTAAGAACATGTTGATCAGATAGCTATATTATAGTGTCACAAAGACCGGCAGGGTTATTACGTAACATACTTATATAATGTCAAAAAACAACTATAAAATATCAACTTGGCTAAATAGGCTAGTGTGCAAATAGTTCATTCCGCGCTTCCTGACAGTGAGCATGAAGTGAACAACGGTTAGTTACAAGTTGCCGTCTCATTGGAAAACCTACATAATCTCATAAAAAACCGACATAATGTCACTTTTCCAGTTACGTAATACCCCTGCCAAATGTGATAGAGCTGGTAAAACCGGAGAATGTCTGATGGTTTTAGTCCAAGCCCAACTAACAATTATCACTCCTATTAGAGTTACAAGAATGATTATACAGTATTTCTTACACAGCACTGTATACTGTAAGAAGATTGACAAACCCTCTTAGAACAGCTATACAAGCGCAATGGGCACACCTAATAGGACACTTCAGTCATTTAAGAGGTTGTAGAAGGGCTGCAGGTTATGCAACAAAAGTGTAAGCCTCTTGCAGCCGCTATAGGACATTTGCGTCATTGCAAGATTCAGTTTTTGTCAACTATACAACTATTCTGTTTCGTGATTCTACTTTATTGCAACCAAACTATTTCTTATGTATTGTATAGACGAAGTGAAGAATATATAACTAACAGATTACAGTCATCTTGTTTAGATATCGGCCATTGTGAATTTCATACACAGGTATATGATAAACTTCTACACTGTGGTATAGGGCTATTGAATTACTTGCGCAGCAAATTTTATTGTGATTATCGTGCAAAGTAGTTACGCAATTTATACGGACTTCGTATTTGATTCATATTTTAATAATGATCAAAAGTATGTCTAGATTTTTAAGACGGAAAACTGAACTTATCTGCGTTAAATCTTCCACAAATCCTAGAATTAGACACAATTACGAATGTATATCACTTTTTATCTGTAACTTCGAACTGAAACATAATTATTTAATTTTAAATACAGGAATAAATGTTTACCCAATATGGCGGGTGGTTGTGTATAATCATGGCATCGTCCATGTTGTCTTTAGCTTATTAGAATATTGGTGTTGCCTGCAGGTGTTATACAACAGTTTGACAAATGTCTGAAATAAAATACCGACAGAGTCGAATAATCTACCCAGATCTATATCTTCTGTTTGAACAGTTGATAAAACCTTTTGAACCAATATGCATGCGTTGTTTGTCTTAAAACATTGGTTATGGCATTTTAACAAAAATATGACAGCAGAAAGTTAGGTTATGGTGAAGTATGCCGAGCACAGCAATTGTGTACTACAAAAGTTGTAATATTGTTGCATATGTACAGCCTTTAACAGTTACCAAACAAGTTGTATAAGTGCTTCCGTTGGGAGCAATTTGTTGGCTAAAGTAGAAAATTGCACAGCAAAACAACAAGGCTCGGGTTTGTTTTATAAACGTTACCATGGATGCCACAACACAACCATTTTGACTAACGTGCAAATATGCCGTATAAAACGTTTATGCGACAGTTAAAAATTTGGCCTATAAGGTGTTGTATATCTATGCTATAAGAATATTTTAAACATCTCACTTTAGAGCAAATATGTTGCATTCCACACAATATTAAGCCAGCGTTTTGGTGTTCAGGCAACAACAATAGAGAGCTGTTATGGCTGAACGGTTCTTTTACCAAAAGCATAGCACTACTTTGTTAGGGAGTGCTAAAAAGTCTCGTCATTCAGATTCTGATGCTATATAAAGAAGGTGTATGCCTTTACTAAGTTCACCACCTTTCTCAATCCAATAACTGAAATCACAGATGATGTACCTAATAAACAGAGTTAAAATTACAGTCCGTAATTGATTATTTTGGAGTTTGCCCAAAATCGGTGACCACTCCACGATTAAACTAGAAACTTGTTCCAAAGTATAACATGATTTTATCTTTAATTGCGAAATAGGCACTCGTATCACTTTCCAGATCATCTTATGCGCACTTCGTATAAATGAAAATTCTAAGCAAACCCGGACCTACAACTATGGTCGCACAACTGCCAGTAGCAAAACACAAAAAGGCATGATTTACGGAAAATTTGCTCGCTTTGGTTTCATTCCCTGTCGGCGAGTCCTATTATTACTTTAAAACGAATATATACGATGTATTCCTATTACACGGAACAGCTTACACTAGGCGGGGAAGCATGGGCACAGAAGGGGGAGGGATCATCATAAAAGCATATCATGTTTTATCTTAACAGCGTGTAGAAATCACTTTTAGTCTAAATAAAGTGCTCCCCAGTCTATAAATTGAATTCAAAATTCAACAAAATGAGCTTAGCCACAGATTGACAATTTTATTTGGTCATGAAGTCCTGATTGATCATACTTTTTTCGGCGAAACCCTGGCTGGATATTTTGTAGTTTAAATATTTTCATCGCTGGGCTAAACAACCATTTTCAATATACGAGGGATGTCTTTTAAGTTTTGCATATTGAAATAAAACAACACGGTAGGTAGTTTTAAATGACTTTATTGTTTTTCGAAGTATTCTCCGCGAAGATTAATACACATCTGCATGCGCTCGAACCAATTTTCGAAGCACGTATTCCACTCGTTTGCTGGCAGATCCAAAACGGAATTTCTGAATGCGTCAACCGCTTCTTCCGGTGACTGGAATTTTTAACCACGCAGTCTGATTTTAATTTTCGGGAAAGTAAAGACATCGTTAGAACTTAGATCTGGACTATATGGAGGGTGGTCCAATAATTCCACGTTTTCTTCCGTTAGATACTGCCTTGTTTTTTGGGCTGTGTGCGAGCTTGCATTGTCTTGGTGGAGGATGATTCTCCTTCCTGGGTGATGACTTTTGGCAAACAAATGGTGGTATACCAATCCGCAGTAAGAGTTCTTTGCTTATTAACAGGAATTGTTGCAATAAGACTTGCTGTTGACACAAATGTCGCTACTATCTTTTTCGAAACACTTCGAGAACGGATGACTTTTGTTGGCTTTTCTTCACCTTGGAACACCCAAACAGCCGACTGTCGTTTATTTCTGGTTCATAACAGTAAATCCACGATTCGTCACCACTAACAATGCTGTACACATTTTTTGAGTTTCCTGAATTGACATCAATTAACCCTGGCTGCTTTCTGCTATTCAGTCAACAGGTGGGGTATCCAACGAGAAACTAATTTTCTTACTCCTAATTCTTCAAGTAAAATTTTTTGAATTGAGGTCTTTGAGATCTTCAAGGACGCCTCAATCTCGCGATATGTCACATGTCTATCTTCAATGATGAGTTTGCGCACAGCATCGACGTTTTCCTGGGTGACTGCCGTTTTTGGTGCACCCACCCTGGAATCGTCGCTAAGACTCACCCGTCCACATTTGAATTCTCCATACCAACGGGAAATTGTCGACTGATGTGGCGCTTCGTTTCCGAAACATACAGCAACTCAGCAAGGCATTCTTGTTGCGATAATTGTCTCTGAAAGTTGTAATAAATTATGGTGCGAAAATGTTCTCGGTTGAGTTCCATTTTTCTAATGACTTGGTGACACTTAAAAATTCACTGTAGTGAGAACACTGCACGTATTGTTGTGAAACTTTGAATTTAAGTTTACTAACGAGTGAGGTTAAGATTCGGTACTGACGTTCGATCTGCGCGGCCTACTATGTTTCTATAATATGCAAAACTTAAAAGCCATTCCTCGTATCACAACAATTTTTAAAGTCATTACCTAGCTATCGATGAAACATTAGAAAGGCATCTTGTTTGAAATTTGTAAATGATTATATCTCAAAAGTACCTTCAAAGATTTTTCAAAATCCTGTCGACCTATTTCAAAAAATGGTGAAAGCGATACTTTATTTGCAAGCACATTCGCCATTCCATGGAGACAATTTAATATTCATGTTCAGGTCGTTCATCATTGCTGCTAGCATGAATTTTCTGCATATAAGTAAAGGTAGGACATTTTCAGAATAATTCAGGAGATCAAGAGATTGAGACATTCTTTTGCAACACTGTCCAATTTTGAAGCCTCCGAATATGTATGTTAATCTATAAAATATCTGAATTTGGTAGATTCCACTTACAAATTGTAACGCCTCTGCAAAATAGGAGTGATAAATCCTTCACCATAGCCACCAAGGGTGTGTAACTGTTGGTGGTACATTTAATTTTGCGGTCGCTTACGAAAAATGTACGACCCTTGCGGATTCGCCTGCTGTGTTGCTTTTAGACAAAAAATCCAAGGCAAATGAATATAAAAGGAGGCAAAAACTACGTCTACACTACTCAGAAGAATCTGGTAATGCGAATTTTGGAGTTACCAATGTTATCTGGAAACTTTAATTGGTAGATTGCTCTGAACTCGAATGGTCCTCCGCAGAACCATGGAATGAAATCTTTGAGCAGTACTCACTGCAAAGTCTTATCGGGGCTTTGTGTGTATAGTAAAGACGAATTATATAATGTGAACACCCATAAGCTTGTATGAACGAGTTTTCTTATACTCCAACCACCACGAAAGCCTACAACAACTACTATGCAACATCCATACATTCAGGCCCCGCCTTTTGACAGGTGTTGGAACTTACTAGAATTGGATTCTCGTTCCTGTGGTTCCTATTTAACAAAGTGCACAGTGGAAAATCGTACGTTCTTTGACAAATGGTAGCTTTCAGGTCTTCTGGAAACTCACCACAAAGGACATCTTCTGGAAACTACAGCATTTTTGGGTACTACCATTTCTTCCTAACTGTCTCGTTTCTGAATTACGAAAGGGATGCAATTTTGATTGCTCTTAGTCAGTTCGCTTTTCATAATTTCAATCCTTTCTCTGTTTTGAACTTTCATATGTTGCTCCGTAAATAGATACTTAAACCACATTTACGTGTAAAAAAAGATACAGCTCCCAACAAAAGTAATCTGAATAGAGGATCCAGAATTCACATATTTTATATCAACTGGTTCGAACCAAACGGCACGGTTATCACGTATCTTGAAAAATGACATGCCGATTTTTTTGGACATTATGCTGTTTTCTTTTAAATTATGTAGGTTATTCTACAAGATGTTAACTTAGCACATAGTTGTACGTGTGTGAATAAACGTCATGAGGCTTGTTATCAATCTTTGGCTCTGATGTGATGTAAAATCTGCTTCTGAGATGGCATTACTGGAGGTCTAAGCTGTAAGTTGTACGTGTTGATGATAACTACATTGGATTCTTGTCTCAAATACACTTAATTGAGATTCAAAGCTGGAAATTAGTTGCGCATCCCCTTTTTCTTATCCATTTTGGAAATTACTATACGAATTTGCTGAATTTCAAAAATGAAAGAGATAAGAAATAATTATATTCACTGTACACTGTCGAATTACAAGACATATACATGTTAACAGTAATTACACACAACGCGGGCGCGGTGATGATTTCCCGTAATTCTCCTCAATTTTTTCGTAATTTATAACTTTGAACATAACCTCTCTTCATAAAGTACAACATATAAATAACCCGTCAAATTCGGTATATTCAGTAATTATTTTCTCACACAGCAAATATCACTGATTTTATACACATGCAGACCAATACACATAATCATCCAGATGCGATCTTGCTATTCAATCAACTTTCTGCTCAGAGATAAAAACTACAGACACGGATTACTCAGCCTCGCAAAACTATGCAACCAATAATGCGTAGTTTAGTTGAGTGATTCCTCCATAGATGGACGTTCACAACGATCCTAGTGAGCAAACGTGGAATTACTGTTTGCGCCCTAAAAATTACCTAGTCTGCAAATTGACATCTTATAGGTTTTTTTGAAGTTTTATAGGTTTTTTAGATGATACCAGTACGGGTATTTCTAGCTTTGAATTTTAATTAAGTGTATTTGAGACAAGAACCCAATGTAATTATCATCAACACATACAACGTACAGCTTAGACCTACAGTAATGCCATCTCAGAAGCAGATTTTACATCACATCAGAGCCAAAGATGGATAAGAAGCCTCATGACGGCTAGGCAACACGTACAACTAAGTGCTAGGTTAACATCTTGTAGAATATTCTACATAATATCATAAAAAAACAGCATTATAAAAAAAAATCAGCATAATCTCACTTTTCAAGATACGTGATACCCGTGCCGTGCGGCTGTGGCACATTGTTGCCAAGTCGAACAACAATCACGTCTTATCGCTAGGCGGAATGAGAAAAATCAAACTTTTCCGTCACAAAAAGACACGAGTGAGTGGCAGAATCTTTTACAGTTGGTGGCTTAAAATTTGAAATAAAGTAAACATTTAAACAAAGTAGTTGTGGATAGACTGTTATTAAGACTTGGAGAATATTTGACTATCAAAAGGCTTACAAGTGCTGAAACCATCAAGACAAGCCTACCGATGGGATAATTGAACTCACATAGTTGTGCCTAAAAAGCGACTGCATTCAAGTAGAAGAAGAATTTTACATCCAAGAGGAAGGTCTGGCAATGGGATTACCGCTTTTAACAGTAGAGGCCAACTTATTTATACGTGGAGTTGCTTGTGTTAGTCGCCATTCAAAACTTCGATGTTATGCCGAAGATTTGGCTCCGATACGTGGATGATACTTTCATAATCAGAAGAGGCTAAACAATCTGCGATCATCGGTAAAGCCTCCCATTCTTTGACGTCATGGTAATAAGGAAACAGTTCCATAATACAAACTAATGTATGCAGAAAACCAACACTTGCAGGACAGTACCAAAATTTCTCTTCTAGTCGTCTAGCAACCATGAAGAAAATCGTGACGCTCATTGACCAGGCAAAGAGCATCTGTAAGACAAGAAATGAAAGCAATAAAACAATACTAGCTACAGTAGAAGCACGCGGCATCCCAGCATTCAATAATTCTACAATATCTTAAAAGAATAAGTGATACAATCAGATGAATAGGAAGATGATACCAAATCAAAACTAAATTTTTAAGCAACGCCAATCTTCCCAGTAGCCTCACAAAAACCAGGCCTATGAATGAAATCCAGGATTGCGTGTATGAGGTGCCATGTGCCACTTCAGTTGGCGCAACTATTGAAATCTTAGTTTTTTTTCTTATCAAACACAAATAATAAAAATGCAGCAGTGTGTTATAGGTTCATATAGTAGAAAACACCAACTTTATCACTCCCTAATCAAATTTGCGGCATAAAAATAACACATGTTGCAATTACAGCATATCAACCTATTTTCATTTCAATGCAAAATAAGTCGATAACGCATAGGTGGCTGTGAAAAATAAAAGCCATGACAATTGTTTTTATTAATCGCAGCTGTCAGAATACGTTTAAAATAGTTTTGGATAGTTAAGGTTTTCAAAATGGGTAGAGGAAAGGTTATTAGTGAGAAAATTCGGTTACTGATAATTAATTTTTTTAATTCTGGGAAATCAAACTCAGAAATTGCAACTTTGTTAGACTTATCGCGGTACAGTGTGAGAAATATTGTAGAAGATAAAACGTAACTGGTTTACTTAATATTAAGCCACGATATGTGAAAAAAGTAATATCACAAATGCCGACCGAAGAGCATTAAGAAGAATAATCGTGAAAACAGGCGTGCCAATTATTTACAATTAAGTGCTCTGTCGAGTGACTCTGTTGGAAGGAGAATTCGAGGTCAACAACTCATAGATAGGCCCACAAAATGGGATTTAGCACTTGCAAGGTAAGTTTTCTTATAAAAAAAAGTAGAAGTAAAAACCCTAAAGTTGCACAACTTGTTTACAGGCCAAAGAAAAGCCACCATTAACTCCACTGTAAAAGAAAAATTGGCTTAGATGGGCTAAAGAAGATAGACAATGGACACCTGCAATACAATGGAGTGATGAGGCCCGATTCGAAGTTTGTGTTGGTGACAGTCCCAGTAGAGTTATTCGCAAAAAATTAAGCATTCCTTGTTGACTGTCTGAAGAGAAAAGTGAAATTTCCAGCATCCATTATGGTCTGGGGCAGCACGTCATCAAAAGTAGGAGGAACACTTCATTTTATTGATGGAAATGTGGATACAAACAAATATTTGGCAATTTTAGAAGAATCGCTTTTACCAGTGATGGACATCCGGCCAAGATTTTGTGTTTCAGCAAGCTGGTGCAGCGTGCCAAAAAAGGCTACCAAATGAATGGAAGAATAATAATGTACCACTTTTGAAATGGGT